GTACTGCTGGGACTTGTAGTCCCGCATAGCTGGTGGTATTCTGCATTGCTGTATGATAATTATACAGCAATGCAGAATAGCACCAACTATGTAGGACTACATGTCCCAGCAATGCATTTTATTTTTAAGTAGGTATACACCAGTGCCAATACTGGGCATTTTCACGAGTACTCATATTCGTGAAAATGCACCTGTGATACGCCGTACATAGCCCTGGTGACACTCCACACTCAGCCCTGGTGACACGCTGCACACAGCCCTGGGGACACATGACACACAGCCCTGGTGACAAACCGCACATGGACCAGGTGAGAAGCTGCACAGCCCAGGTGAAAGGATGCACACAGCCCTGGTGACACACTACACACAACCCTGGTGACAAACCACACATAGTCCAGGTGAGAGGCTGCACAGCCCAGGTGAGAGGCTGCACACACCCTTGGTGATACACTAAACACAACCCTGGTGACAAACCACACATAGTCCAGGTGAGAGGCTGCACACAACCCTGGTGACAGGCCAGACACAGCCCTGGTTGCATGCCACACACATTCCAGGTGACACGGTGCACATAGACTAGGTGACACCCCTCACAAAGCCCTGGTAACACATTGCACACAGCCCTGGTGACAAGCCCCAAACATCCCAATTGATATGTCATACATAGCCCTTGTGACACGCTGAACACACCCCTAGTGACAAGCTGCACATAGCCCTGGTGACACACTGAACACAGCCATGGTGGCAAGCTGCACATAGACCAGGTGGCATGCCACACGCAGCCCTGCTTACATGCCGCTAAAAACCCAGGTGACACGCTGCACATAGTTTTGGTGACACACTGAACACAGCTTTGATGATATGCAGCACACAGCCCTGGTGACACACCACGCACAGCCCTGGTGACAAACCGCACATAGCCCAGGTAAGAGGCAGCACACAGCCCTGGTGACATACCGCACACAACCCTGGTGGCACACCCCACACAACCCAGGTGATACAGTGCACATAGCCCAGATTACACCCCTCACAAAGCTCTCATGACATGCAGCACACAGCCCTCATGACACACCACATCCCGGTGACACATCGCGCACAGCCCTGGTAAAAAGCCACACACAGCCCAGGTGACATGTCGTACGTTGCCCAGGTAAGCTAAGGAAGAGGGATGGACTAATTAGGGAGAGGTAGGCTGATGATTAGGATACCCCAAAAATGCATCTGGAAGGCACTTCACCACCTAGGTAGCAAGAAGTGTTATGGATCCAATATTTTGTTCCTAATCATGTGTTCGCTATCTCCGCTATACCATAGTGACCTCATGCAGGCTGGAGGCTTCATTGACAACCCAATCCCAAATGCAGCCGTGTTTATTATAATACAGGATTTATAGAGCGCCAACAGTTTGCGCAGCGCTTTACAATAAAGGGAAGACATTTCAATCACAATACAATTCAAGACAAGATGGTAAGGAGGGCCCCGCCCCTGAGGGATTACAATCTAAAGGCCGTGTTTAATAGCCGTGTTTACCGTGTTTAATACTGTAACTGTCAGTTAGAATTACTGGATTTAAAAAACAAACAAACAAACATTAATTAGTTAAAAATAGAAAACATATTTTTTTCACATATTTGAGCATTTGTCAGCCTGTGATAACAGACACAGGAGGGCTTTTAAACAGCGTAACAGATTAGGAAATATATATGAAAATATCTGGGTATGCAGATCCCAGCAGACCTCACCAGAAGACGGCAGGGAGAAACAACAAGTCTTGCCAGACCTCAGCAGCCCACGACAGAGAGGAACTACAAATCCCAGCAGACCTCACGGCAGTAGTGGAGCAGAACAGTCGGGGTTAAGTTGCTATTCCTTTGAATCCACAGGCAGAGCCTCTGGTCTGTCCAGTCAGAGGGAAGAACGCCAGCTTAGCCCTCCCACAGACCTTACAAATGTGCTGGGGGTGCAGGCACGAGTGGGCAGGGAAGGGGCAGTATACAGGCTGTTGCTGAGCAACTAGCCTCACCCACCCCATGCGTCTTTTGTTCTGGGGAAATTGTAGGAATGTCACCAGCACACCAGTCCTTTTAGGATAGCGAAAGCTTCATTACTTGAAGTTTCTTGTCATATGACCAAACAAGCGCTTTCGGGACCGCACAAAGCCTGATGAAGGGACCCTGTGCGGTCCCGAAAGTGCTTGTTTGGTCATATGACAAAAAAACTTCAATAAATGAAGCTTTTGCTATCTTAAAAGGACTGGTGTGCTGGTGACATTTCTACAATTTTGCTGACATTCGCGGCGCCATCCGCAGTCACTGCGAGCACCCCCCACTGCAAGGGACATATCGGTAAGGAGTGTGACAAGGATAGTACTGTTTGTTCTGGGGAGTCTGCTTTGGCAAAAATAAAGAGATGTGCGCTTGAGCATGGGCAGCTTATTTTGGTGCCCAGTGTCTAGACCCCTGCTGTCAAGTGCACAGCGGGGCTCCTGTGATCTGCAGAATTCTGGCTGCAAAAGCTGACTGGATAGGGGTGGGGGGAGGGGGGGGGAGGAGAGCACTGTGGGTTTGCTCAGTGTACAGCCCAAAAAGATTTTCAAGTCACCCCTTTGATATGCTGGATCTGTGCCAGAGATCAAAACCCAGGCTGCTGTAGCTTGGGGAAAAGCTGGGAGCCAGGAAAGGGGAACCCGCAAGGAGCTGGGGAAGATTGGCGGAGCAGAGAGAGGGGCTCGGGGCTGCAGGGAGCCCCCCTTCTCCACAGTATCAATGACCTCCAATGCCATTTAGGCATCAATCATTTTAATGCCTGCTGATGGTAACACTTTAAAAAAACACTCAACTACAAATGTTACAAAAGATGAGAATGGAATAACTGGGAATGCTATACTAGATTAATGTATTTATTCTCTTTCTGCTATTCATAAACAGTCTGATATTAACAGAAAAAGAAGTCATATTAATAATAACAACACGTTCGCTCACCTCTAGATCCTGTCATGGCTCTCTGCCGTGACAGGGGAGGGGCAGGATTCCCCCCTCTCTGCTCCGTTCTCCAGCGCTGACTGGCGGAACGGACGTGGGAGGGGGGCGGGTACAGCTGGCTCTGCCTCTGGATAGCCAGAGCCAGCTGTCACTCACGCAGCTGGGTGGATCCCGGCATCATTGTCGGCATCCGCTTCAGCTGCGGTGTCTCAGTATACCGCGAGCTACAGCTGGCAGTATACTGAGCCTAGGGTGACGGGAGGACGCTAGTTTGTGTCCTCCCGTTACCCTAAGGAGAACTAGGGGGAAAAGCCTTAACCACATAGTTCTCCTTTAAATATAAAACTAACTGAATGACATTTACCCAGATAGCAAGGATAACTCGCCACAAACTTGTGTCAGGTTTACATTGTAATTCTTGGTAACTTGCTGCACACATTCCTGGCAGGTTGCAGACTTGCAGAACACTCGCAGCACAAGTTCTAGGCGACACTTTTTGAATTTGTAGCAAATTTGCTCGGCAAGTCTACTACAAGGGTCCTGCAGGTCTAAGCGAGAGTTCTGCAAGTGTTACAGCGCTGTTGCAAAGCACGTTGATCTGGAGACTTGCAATGCAGACTTGCTGTAATTGTGCAACAACATTGTGAAGCTCGGCGAGTCTAGCAATAGATTAGCGAGTCATTTTCAAACGTGCAGCTCAATTTCTTGCTATCTGGGTAGTTGCTGGAGCGCTGTGTGTGTGTCACCAATAATTGTCCTTTTATACAAATAAAATCTTTGTTTTCACCTTTTTTTGTTCATCCTTCTGCAGCCTCTTTGCAGCCATTTGCAGGCATTTCTGCTGCATTACGTGCTAAAGCTTAGATGAGATTTCAGTGATTGGGATTACATCTTTAAATTCAGGTTACGTCTGACTGTTTTCCTGTGTGTGATGTCTAAGGCTGGCCATGCACTGCTCTATCTTTCCCGTTCAACCCGCAGGCTGAACGAGGAAAAAGAGAGCAGATTGCTCCCAACACTGCAAGTATGTCGATCAACGAATCCCACTGTTTGCATTATTTTTAGACAGCGGCCGCCAGCTGCTATCAGAATACCCGACCAGAGGTGGCTAGCTCATTGGCTGCCGGCTCCTATTGTACAAAGATTTTCTGATCGGCTCCTTCGATCAGCGGCACACACTGAGTGGTGTAGCGAGGGGGGGTAGAAGGAGGCATGTGGCCCCCCGGGCGCCGGCCTGAAGGGGCGCCAGGACGTGGGGTGTGCCGGGTGTGCTCCCGAGCACAACACCTAAACCCGTTGCTGGCTTTGTTAGGCATGAACACATCATCCAGAGACGGGCATGGAATATGCCTGTCTAAAGGGATGCCGGGGATGTCCTATATGATAAAACATCAGTGACTGTGTCACTGACCAGTTATAGAGGATTACAACAAATGCCAGCAATAGTACATTAAACACCCTGTATATAATGTATTATTGCTGCGATTTGTTGTTCCTCTATAGCTGCTAATGTTCTGCAGTGTGCCGCTGTATAGCACGATCAGCACAGCGACGCGGGGAGAAGAAGAAGCAGGCGTGAGAGGATGACAGCCGCCGACAGACAGGCCCGATCTCAGAAGCAAGTTGCTGGAAGACTGCTCAGGTAAGCCTGCATATGAGGTGTTACAGTACAATTGGCATGGACACTCTCAGGCAAAGCACACACACTGGTGACACATATTTGGCAGTTTTTTTTTCTTTTCCAATTAGCTTACATTTATCAACTTATATGGCGTGCATACAACAGAAGCACC